TCGTGGGCTGCTGTCCTGAGGGGGCCGGGGGGTGGCCGTGGGCCCCATCCTGAGCGACAGCGCCTCCGACATCTTCTGTGGTAACGAGAACAGCCCAAATTTCCTCTTCCACAACTGGGGGGACGGGACGTACCGGGACGTGGCAGCTGCTGTAGGTGAGTAGGGGGAGCTGGGGGGAGCACCTTGGTGTTGGATAACTCAGGGCAGGGCTGGCTCTGCCTGCCCCTGCCTGCATGGGCTGGTTGAGTGCAGGGTGGAGGAACAGCCCTGGGGACCCAGAGCCGCCCACTGGGGGTGACTGAGGTGCACCAGGGCATCCGTCAGCACAAGGATGCAGCCTTGCACAGGGACGACCTGTCTGGGGACCGTGGGGCATGTCCCAGGAGGCATCCCAGGGAGGTGAAGGCAGGGAGGGTGTCCCATCTCCCCCCCATCCCCTTGTGGCTCCCCAGGGCTGGATGACCCCTACCAGCATGGACGTGGTGTGGCACTGGCTGACTTCAACCGCGATGGCCGGGTGGACATCGTTTATGGAAACTGGAACGGGCCACACCGCCTCTACCTGCAGAGCGGGGCCCCCGGGCGTGTCCGATTCCGGGTGAGGGCTGGGACCCCCCACTGCCAGCTTTGCCACCGAGCCCCCTTGGCTGGGGGTCTGGCTTCACCTTGATTTGGCTTTGAGCCCCAATTCCCTGCAAGGAGGAGACCTGAAGCACCAAAGTGGGACCCGGTGTACTGCTCCTTGTGCCTGTTGTCACACCATGCCCATCCCTCGTGCAGGACATCGCTACCCCCAAGTTCTCCATGCCATCCCCTGTCCGCACGGTCATCGCAGCTGACTTTGACAATGACCAGGAGCTGGAGGTTTTCTTCAACAACATCGCTTACCGTGGCTCCTCTGCCAACCGCCTCTTCCGGTACGAGCCCAGGGGGCCGGGGCAGCCCACACCCTGCTCTGGGGGTCAAGCAACCCCCACGGCACAGCCAAGCTCACAGGGCTCCTCTCCAGCAGTGCCACTGCTCGGGCTCGGCTAATAAAAGGTGCCGTGACTGAGCCGTTCCCAGTGTCATTACCAGCTGCCGTGACCGTGCCTGCAGCAGCCCCCAGGGTCCCCAGCACCACTGATTAGCAGCTGTGTGGAAGCTTGTTCGTGAATCCTGTTAATTGTGGGGGCCAATTTCTCATTACTGTTGTGTGGCACCTCCTTGCCTGGCGTGTGGGGCCGTGGGAGCTGGTTGTCTACCTCATGCTGGCACCCATGGGTGAGCAGAGGGCAGTGGCATGGCAGGGAGCCCCTGAGTGGGGTCTCCAGTCCCAGAAGGATACAACAGTGTTTGGAGATGGCATTGCTGCTCCACAGTTCAGACCCACAAGAGCCAGGCTCTCATGACATCCTTGTCACTCCTGTGTGGAGAAGGGACATGAGGTTCTAACAGGCAGGGGCCAGTCCCATCCCCCACCCATGCTGCATAGCCACCAGGGCTGTCACCTCTCTACCATGCTGAGCAGAAAGGGACGAGCACTTTCTGGGAAGATGCTGGGGACTGCAGGGGCTGGCACTAATGCCCTGTCTGTGCTCGGCAGGCTCATCCGCAGGGAGCACTCAGACCCCATCGTGGAAGAGCTGAATCCAGGGGACGCACTGGAACCTGAGGGACGGGGCACGGGTGGGTTCCTCCGGCCCTGGCAGGTGGGGCTCCATCTGGGGATGTGCCACAGCACCGCCTGGCACCCTCTATCCCTGGGGATGCCACATGCTTGAGTCACCTGCCTGCTCCCCCCCAGCATCCTGGAGCCCCCATCACCCAGGAGCAGCCCCATGCTTTCTCTCTCCACCCATACCCAGCTAACGGTGCCATCTCCAGTTTTTCCCCAGGGCTTTGCTCTTGGCAGCCTCTTCCCTGGGTGTCTACTGTTCAAAGCCAACTTCTATATTTGGGAGGGGGTCAGGCAGCCTCCTGTGTCTCACAGCCCCCCAGGCACTGCCTGTCCCCTCCACTGCCCAAGGAGCTGACCTACCGGATTGTAGGTTGCTACCCATACAGGGACCCTTACTCCTGCACTGGGGTCACCCCATCTTCCCTACTGCCCCTGCATTGCTGGGAGTGCTGCTGCTGCTGCCTGTGAGAGCCCACGCCAGCAACAGGATGTAGTGCCGAAAGACGTGGGGCTGGACCCTAGGCACGACATGATCCTGTCTTTGCAGGGGGTGCAGTGACAGATTTTGATGGCGATGGGATGTTGGACCTAATCTTGTCCCATGGTGAGTCCATGGCACAGCCGATCTCCATCTTCAAGGGCACCCAGGTGAGTCAAGCAAGGGGTCCTCGCATTGTCCCCGTCCCTTCTGCTTCTCCTGGCTCAGTCTCCCTGCTGCCTCCTCCCTTGCAGGGCACCAGCAACAACTGGCTGCGCGTCATCCCCCGCACCCGCTTCGGGGCCTTTGCACGGGGGGCCAAAGTGGTGCTGTTCACGCGGCGCAGCGGGGCCCACCTGCGCATCATCGATGGCGGATCGGGGTACCTCTGCGAGATGGAGCCTGTGGCACACTTTGGACGGGGTGAGCCGGGGGGGGGAGAAGGGGCTGCCTCCACCCTCAGCCTTCCCTGGCACCGCCCTGGGCAGGGGCCACGTCTGCTGCCCCAGCACCCTGCAGCACAGCAGTCATCCATGCCCATTGCCCTGGGCATGGTGGGCTCCAGAGGAGGCTGCGGGCAGGGTTCCCAGCCACTGCAGCCCTGCTGCAAGGGGTAGCTGCCCCCTCCTTCCCCATTCCCTGCCTGCTGCTTTGCCCGGGCACCGGGGCTTTCCCTGCCCATTAACCCTCCCCTGGCTCAGCACGGCCAGCACCCAACCCTGCAGTGGTGTACCTTCCTCGCCGTGCCTGTCCCTCGGGCTACACCCCTGTGCATGGGCCGTCAGCACGGGCTCCTGGAGCCCAGCTCGGGGAGCAAGGGGAGGCTTTGCCCCTCCATCCCTACCACTCCCCTGGCCTCCTTTCAGCCCCTGCCCACCCTGGAGACCCCCCCTCTGACAGGCTGCC